ACAAAAGTATAAATCCATGATATAAAATTTTACTTTGTGTTGTTTTTAAGAACCAGTCTGAAGTCAACAACAACTTTATTCACTACTTTCTGCTCTGTATGATTCAAATTCAGTGGCAGCTCAAATGTTCAACATAAATTCAAAACACTGTGGATTTGTCAAACTGCTGCCATACTTCTGGAATTTTAGGTTCCTTGTTTCTGTCAGTAATGGTTTACAGTACATATAAACCAGTATATATAAATGTGAATCTTTTGTTGTACAAATTCTATAGTAAATCCTTATAGTTGCAATACAATTCCTTGACTGTTGAAGAGACTGTCAGACGTTAGGTCTATACACCATGCTACATCGGCAAAATACGGCTGAATCCTAGTGTGAAACAGTGATAGAGGCACTTAAACATCAGGCGCAGTGAAGTGTAATACCTACCATATACATAGAGGATGTAGTCGTCGTAGGCCTCTCCCACAGCATTGGACGCCACGCAGCGATAGGTGCCGTTGTAGGACTTGTTGAGGTTCTCTATGTAAAGATCAGAGCCGGTGACCACAGCGTGAGGCGGCACATCCTCGTCTACCCTCAGCCAGTTGATCTGATGGGGGCTGGACAGCACAAATACCACACACATCACTCAGACGCTGTCTATCCATGCTAGAAATCTGAAATAAAGGTCAAATCTGAGACAGTCTGAAAAGGGCCATTGGCAGGCCCTGTCTAATGATGTCCTTTATACAGCATGCTAACAACTGGTAACATTTAAATAGTACAATGAAATGGAAAGGTTAAGGGGGTGTCTGGACCGACAGAAAAGGAATATACAGTGGAGAGCATGAAGCTAAACAGAAATGTTGCAGTCTTGTGTGTTCATCTGCTCGAATACTCACTGCGGTTTTCCTTCTACAATACACGTCAGGTCTAGATTGTCGCCCTCTCTGGTTAAACCCTCAGGATATGTCACCACAATCTTCACTTCTGGTTTATCTGAAAGTAAAAATGATGTGTAGTTAGAATGATGGGTACGACCTGGTATGTACAAACAGAGAGATAAAGATAGGAGGTGGGGTGGTCTTGTACATAGATAAAACTTTTTGTTATATAAAAGTGGAGAAAATGTCAAGGGTGGTGGAGAA